GAAGTGCACCCCCTAGTATAGATGCACACAAACATGGTGTAGGGGTTTCTCTCTTGGCACATGTACAGAGTTATATCCAATGGATCATTGGAAGAGCGGCTTCCCATGCATTGCGACTGTATTGCACATGCTACGACAATTTTAGGACTCGAGGATTTGGGCCAATGTTCTCTATTGGCCCTAACATTTTGTATATGGCTTTTCGTCATTAAATTCATACATAAATCATATTGCCCTAACCCATCACCCAATCATGATGCACAAACATAACAATCGATTATGACGTAAAGGTAACCCTCAACTCTCTTAATACCTCTCATGCATAGATCCTCTTCATGACCTAATCGGGGTTCTGTGACTATTGGTCCCAATGCGTCAAGATCCGAGAGTCACGTCATTCTTTTACTCTCTCTAATGTTAAGAGTCATTGCAAATGTCAAAATTTAAGGCCTTTAAATGACATAATTCCAACAAATCCTAGGAACCTTGTTGCACTTTTTGGCTTCTCATAGTTATATTATATAATTAATATGTTTATGTTCTAATATAGTTGAGACTGCAATTTGAGTTGTTATAGTGAAGTTGTGGTTGTATTTGGCATCAAGTCCTTGTAAGACTCGTGCTATAAGTTTATATTATATGTATTGTCTTATAAGTTATAATATCTACTATGTCAACAAAATTGAAAAGGAGTCAGGGGTTTGCTAGTGGGATCTTTTGGGCTTTATTATCAATTGTATTCAAGTTTAATGTGTCTTTTATTTTGTGGTACCGTTGTTATTTGTTTGTAACTGGTTATTATAATTAAACTTCCTAGAGTTGGATATAAAAAAAAGTATATAATACAATGCTGGGAGGAGAAACCATTAATGCCATCACTAATATCATAGTAGATTATGACCTTTACCATGTAAAACCTTCTCGAGTTATTTCACTTGCAGGGATGACTATATGGCAAGGATTATTTAGAAAAGTAGCCCTTCAATGTTGCTCGATTGGTCGAGGATGGTGAGGCAACTACATTACACTTATTGAATGTAATGTAGTTGGTAAAGACTAGTGCACTAGCCTGGAAGGCGTCCAGGGCAAGGGATGTGGAGGTGACTGACACTAAAGAGTCAAGTGATGGCCATAGGGAGATAGTTAGCGCTGAAGGTGGATCATGGTCTCAGTATCATCATGCTCCACAGCTGGTGAGACATCTACAATTAATGGGCGGTGTGATGTGGGGGGCATCCACCTAGCCCAAGTGCGGCAGAAAACAAGTGATTTGGCAACCAACTTGAGGGTTGTAAGTTGGTTGTGGTGGCAGAAGAGGTGGCTGGCCAGATACTTGGTTGGTTAGGTGTGCATACCGTAATCGTCATGGGTGGGTTTGAATTGTCGAGCAACCAGGGGGTTGTGCAACCAACATGAGTCATGAGAGAGTGGATGTTCTAGAAGGTAAGTAGGTCTTAATAGCCACCATGACTTACCATATAGGTTTGAATTGACATGCATGGATAATCAAGATTAGTGGAGTCCGCTAACAAATATTTATAACCCTGTAATAAATAATGTGCGCATGTATTAAAGGTGTAGGGAGTGGACTAGTATAAGTGCCAAACCAGAGTGGTGGGTCGTGAACATTACATCCTTAAAATATGGGTTGTAAGGGTGCACAAATATATGGTTTTATTCAAGGTGAATAGCCAAATGCTCTCTTAACCTTGATAAATATGTATTTCACACAAGCAAAAATATTATATACTTATGTAGGACCATATCGTGCATTTGCTTCTTCAAGTAAAATTTCAGCTCAAGAGAAATTTGAGGCAAGATTAGGAAAATTCTATGAACTTAGAAATTTATGGGATATAAACTCCTCAATCCAGCATTACAAAGGAAAATTTGGTGAACTTGAAAATTAATGGGATATAACCTCCTAATTCCAACATTGCAAAGAACAAAAAAAAAAAAAAAAGAAAAAGAAAAGAGAGAGAGTAAATATCCCTAAAGGCTAGAGGGCTCAAAAATCCCCATTTACATATATTAGGTATAATTTTAGAGTATTACTTAGAGGGTGCGGTTTGTATAGAGCCGAGGCTCTAAACAATAAAAGTAAAACACACCTTCAAATAGTGTTGAGAAATATGGTTTCAATATTGAAAATCTTTATGATAGCCTTAAACTATATTTTCATATTTAATTATAAAATTTAAAGGTTAAAAAATAATGTAGATCGAGCAGATCCATACTTAAAATCTTTGTGAAAGACTTGAAATATATTTACATATTTAATTGTAAAATTTAAAGCTTAAAAAAAAGTATAGATCGAGCAGATCTATGAAAACTTGAAAATTGACGTTAAAAAATGCATTACAAGATGTACTATTTCCAAAACTTGAAATATATTTTATTCTTATGTCCATGCATCTTTATGTTGAGGTGATCAATTTGAGGATATTTGGGCATCAAAACAACATCTTCTAATAAAAAAAATTAAGGTGGGTTGTTTAGAGCCTCGGCTCTATATAAATTTTTTCTTCACTTAAAAGGTAACTCTTTAAAAAGCTAACTCCTAATATATTTGAAAAAACCGGCAGGGGCCTGCCTTCCCCAATGAATTACCAAAAAAAAAGAAGAAATCTTTAAAAAAGTTGTTAAAAAATCACAAATTTCTCTAATATGGAGTTGTGAATTTTCAACACTGAGGATATTTTGATAATTTAAGTAGCTAAAGCAAAACTTATAAAAATATCATCGGTTGTTCAAAATTGTCAAATAATAAAATTACCACCAATACAAATTGGTACCCTAGTAAGAATAAAAACATGGAAAATCATCAATAACTTATTAACTAGGGAAAATTGCATAAACCCCCCAAAAGTAGACTTTCTAGGCACTTTACACAGCATAACTTTTCATAGCATATTTTCCCCCAAAACGAAGTTTTATAGCAAATACCCCCCAATCTAAAAAAATGGTGAAATAAAGACTAAACTACCCTCTCTTTTATTTTTTATTTCCCTTTACTTTTTTCTTTTTCCCTCACGATTTTCCCCTTTTCGGGCATTTTACAAGTGCGGCCCGACATTTGTTTTTGGATTAATGAGCAGTCCGGCATTTGTGAGCTACGGTCAGGCGCTTGTGTCACTGGAGTGGGCGGTCCGGCATTTGGAAGAGGCGGTCAGGTATTTTAAAGTGGCAGTCCGGCGTTTCATAGTGGCAGTCTGGCGTTTTGAAGCCGTGGTCCGGCGCCCATGTTACTGGAGTAATGTGCATTCCGGCATTTTACAAGTGCGGTCCGACATGTGTTTTGGATTAACGAGCGGTCTGACATTTGTGAGCTACGGTCTGGCATAATTGTGCCTGGAATAAGTGGCCCGATAGTGTACAATTATGGTTTGGCAGATTGGATGGGTTCAACAATAAACAACTGCGATATGGCACTTCCTTTTATTAGGATTTAAAAATGATTTGTTATGTATGAGAATGATATTTTTGTAAAAAAAATGAACTTTTTGTATTGGGGTTATTTACTATAAAACTTGATTTTGGGGAAAATTATGCTAAGAGAACTTAGGTGGGGGTAAAGTGTCTAGAAAATCTATTTTTGGGGGTTTTATGCAAATTTTCCTATTAACTATTCAATATTTTATCTATTTTTAACTATTACATATCACGACATTGTATATTTTGATAGTATTTTTTAAATTAAATCAATATACATGAAGACATTAAATAATTAATTTTTTGTATTATTTTGATAAAGAAAAGTTTATATTGAGTCGAGGTTCTAAACAATCAAATTAGAACTCACCCCAAAATTTTCACTAGAAGATGTTGTATTGGTGTTCAAATATCCTTAAATTGATCATCTTGACTTCAAAATGCATGACATGAAAAAAAAATAGATTTCAAGTTTTGGAAATAGTGCATCTTGTAACACATTTTTTGATCGTCAATTTTCAAGTTTTTATGGATCTGCTCTATCTACACTATTTTTTAAGCTTGAAATTGTATATTTAAACATGAAAATATATTTTAAGGCTATCATAAAGATTTCCAGTGTTGAAATTACATTTCTCGTACTATTTGAATGTGCACTTTACTTTGATTGTTTAGAGCCTCGCTCTATATAAACTTTTCCTTTTATCGAGGCTCTAAACAATTAAATTTGAGCCGACCTAAAACATTTCACTAGAAGAGGCTGTTTTGATGCCCAAATATCTTCAAATCGATCATCTCGACATTAAGATGTATGGACACGAGAAAAAATGGATTTTAAGATTTGGAAATAGTGTATTTTGTAACGCATTTTTGGACCGCCAGTTCTCGAGATTTTTAAGTTTTCATAGATTTGTCGATCTACATTATTTTTGAAGCTTTAGACTTTATAAATAAATATGAAAATATATTTTAAAGCTATTACAAATATTTTCAGTGTTGAAACCACATATTTCGATACTATTTGAAGGTAGTCTCTAATTTGATTGTTTAGAGCCTAAGCTCTGTACAAACGACACCTTAAGATAAATCCCCATAAAATTAGTGAACAAAGAAAACGGATGACCATTTTTGGAAGAGAGAGAGAGCAGGGAAAAAGAGAAATATCGGAGACAAAGGATGCAACCTTATAATGTAGAACTATGGATGCACATAAAAAATCCATCGAAAAAGGTAGTTTTAATGTTGAAAAAACCTTTGATTGATCGTCTCAACATCGATATGTGTGACCATAAAAAATAAAAAGATTTTAAGTATTAGAAATAGTGTATTTTATAATATTTATACCGTCTATTTTCAAAATTTTCATATGTTTATAGATCTATTTTGATTTTAACTATTTTTAAAATTTAAAATCGTATAATTAAATATAAAAATGAATTTTAAGATAACCCTTCAAAATTATATACAATGATAAAGTTTAAAGGTACACCTTACCGCTAGAGCTACGGAAGAAAGGGAGACAAAAAGAAAAATATTGGGAAGAGGGAGAAAGGGAGTGAGGGGAAAATTAGGAAGAAAGTAGTGAATAAAAGATTGGGAAGAGAGAGAAAGATCGAGAAAAAGCTTTCACCCACTTTTCCCGGCCAAAACCTCTGGTACTGTGAAGTAGGTAAGATCCAAAATACCTACCTCCAAAAAAACCCTATAAAAGCCATATAAATATTCACTTTCATACTCTCTTTATTCACAACAATCCCACACTTTCTCTCTCTATAATCCCACTCTTATTTTCTCTCTCTAGCTCGCACCCCTGAAGTTCTAGCAATGGCGTCAGAGAGAGTTCTTTTGGGCATGGGAAACCCGCTCCTCGACATTTCAGCAGTGGTGGACCGCGATTTTCTCAGCAAGTGAGGAAACACATCTCATCAATCTGTATTTTTTTTTCTCTCTAATTGTTGGAAAACTGGTTTTTCTTTCTCATCTTTTTGTTAAATTGATTTTCTCTCTCTTTTTGGTCAGAAATCTCTCCTCCAATCTGAAAATCATATCATTTGATTTAAATGAGCATAGTTAGATTATGCATTACTATGGTTGGTTTTTTTATGTTTATCTCTCATGGATCTTGAATGTGCTCCAATTTTTTTTTGTGTTTGAATATTGTTTAGTCTGGTTATGTTGACATTTTTTTTCCTTCTTTAGAGCTTATTTATCATGGCCATTTTGCTTTCTTTAGCGTCTGGAATAAAATTTTACCACATAGATCCATGTTTCTTATGGTGGGCGATGTTATGGCCCTATAGACATGCCTTTCTTGATTTTGAACTTATTTACCATAGCCATTTTTGCTTTGTTTAGTGTTCAATATGCAATTTTCTACGGTTCAGTTCAGATCCATGATTCTAGTATTGGGCATTGATGTTATGGGTCTATTAGATATGACATATTCCTTTGGAGCTTATTCAGTGTGGCCATTTTTGCTTGATTTAGTTGTTAAAATGTAAATTTTACCATATAGATGCATGATTCTAATGGTGGGCAACTTTATTTGTCTTGTAGATATGGCATCAAGTTGAACGATGCGATTCTTGCGGAGGATAAGCATAAACCTATGTAAGTACATTGCACTTACTCGTCACTGTTACTATAATTTTCATTGTTATTACTACCACATGCTATGTTTTGCAGAATTTTAGCTATATTTAAAAGGTCTGAGGTTTAACAATGAGATCTAGTTCACTTAAAAAGTTATTTCTGCTGTTGAGATCTAGCATTGAGAATGTACATATTACTTTTCGTAAAATAGGGGAGATAAAACAAAGATGCAATAATTGCTGGATCTGTTGTCTATTCGAATCCCGAATAACTGAATTTCTAGAAACTACACCAAGACCCCACTGGAAAATAACAATAAAAAAGATAATGTTGAAAACAAGATAAATTATATGTTTTTTTGCGAAAGTTAACCTTAAATCATCTCTTAGAGATAAATTATATGTTGGGCTTTTGGTCTATTAGATTGGATCACCATCAATTAGATTTCATTGAAACTAAGTAACATTGATAAGAACCCTTGGCCTATTAGATTGATTGGATCAACATCAGTAGATTTCAATGAAATTAGGTGTCTTTAATCATAAAAAAAAAAAAAAAAAAAAGAAAGAAGAAGAAGAAGAAAACTCAAGTGTTATCGGATGGTTTTAGGTATGAAGAAATTGCCTCCAAATACAATGTGGAATACATTGCGGGAGGTATGTGGTGATTTACAAAGGATGAAATTACTTCTTATGGTTCTTTCTCTTTTTGTGCCATTGCTTTTATCTAGATTACAATACAAAGATTGATACTTATTATTTTTGGTACTTTCAGGGGCTACTCAGAACACTATCAGGGTTGCACAGGTATATTATTTGCCTTGATTATGAGCCTTTTCGGTCTGCGTAGTTGACTTGTCTCCTGTACTTATAAATGGTCAGTATGTTGTTCCACTTGAGCTGATTTTGATTTTTATTTTTCTGCAGTGGATGCTTCAAGTTCCAGGTGCTACGAGTTACATGGGTTGCATTGGAAAAGACAGGTTTGGTGAGGAGATGAAGAAAAGCTCAAAATCTGCTGGGGTCAATGTAATCATCTATTCAATCTAATCGATATATTTCTGAAGGAAGTACTAGGAAAAATTATCCAAAAAATTAAAATATTAGAGAACCGAGATAATTTTGAAAGTACAAGGTTAAATCATTTCATAAACTATTTTCATTCTGCTATAGGTTCATTATTATGAAGATGAATCCACACCAACGGGAACTTGTGCTGTCTGTGTTGTGGGTGGTGAAAGGTTAGCTTCATTTAGCCAATGCCTCTTTATTCTTACATTTATGATTTGTCATACAAGGTTTGGAAAAAGACTGGTACTATTTGGATTTTTAATACTCTTAAATGAGAATAATATGACAATCGCCCACATAATTTCCTGCCTCATTCCTTTGTTGTGTCATTCTTAAGAATATCGGTTTGTTATCTAAAATAAATTGTGTTTAATTTCCAAGTGATCCTTATAAGTTGGAAATGAATACTTCTAACATATGTTGCAAAACATTATTTTTCTCCCATGTCTATTTCATTGGCATGTTACCTCTTGTGGCAAATGTGCATCATCAATAGCCTTTTTGTTATTTATTTGCTTCCAATATCATTTCGTTTTCTAAATTATTGGAATCTTTGGCCCATTAAGAATGATTATAATGTGCGCTATGAAAAACATGATTGTTGTTATCATTAATCATCTAATTTGAGATTTAGATGTGCACTTTCCTTGTTCTTGTCATTTTTACCTTCACTTGATCTGCCCATAGTGGGCCTGCTACCCTTGTGCTCTAGCCATCCTCTCGCCATTTGACTCGATATCAACTCCCATCTCCCTCGATGTTTTGAATCTTCTTTTCCATTGAGACTTTGGATGTGCCTTCCTCTTGTTGCAATGCAATGCTTGTATCATTTGTGTCCTCCTTGTATTTCTTTTCCTAGTTTTCTACTTGTCGCCTTATCCTGTCTCTAGCCTCTACAATTTAGTATATATCTATTATTCCGTCTTGTCCTTGGGTCTTTTCAGGCCTATTCATCCACTACGTACCATTTTACTTAAATAGCACGAGCAATAGAGAAAAAAATAGAGACACCAACAAACAAAAAAAATAAAACAAAAGGTGCGATTGATTGAGTAATGGTCGATAGTATATAATCTTAACAGCCCTACAAGAAGCAAAAGTTAAGGTTAGAATGGGTTGTGAATGGTGGATTTACCTTAATATGTGGTTTTTACTAAATAGTTATGGGTTGTGAACGGTGGATTTATCTAATATGCAGCTTTTACTAAATAGTTAAAGTTAAGGTTATGGTTAGACAAGGGCTGCTTTTTAATAAGACATTTCTTTTGTAACTTAACTTTTTCAAATTTTTTTTGGTTTGTTGTCTAACTTCGTCATGAAAGGTACATGTGACACTTTTGTCATCGTTATGAGGGCATAATTGAAACTTTCATCAAAGGACAAGGTTATTGGCTCCAATAAAGTTCTAGGACACTTTGAGACCAGTATTATGTTTTTGTGAGAGTTTTAAATGGACCCCTACTTAATAATTAAACTACCTCTTTTACCAAAAAGTAATGAGTGTTAGTAAATGTACCACACACTTCACAATCCATTATAACCTTAACCTTTATCTTGAGATGAGGTTAGGTATAAACAAATCTATATCAGAAAAGATTTTGGTGCGTCCAATGGTGAACTGCTACAATGTTCACCCTAGCTTAAAACCATTGCTTAGGAGACCCCTTGAACCCCAAAGATTAGGAACGTGACCTAGTCATCCTAGAGATAGTGCACCCCTTGAAAGAAAAAATCAGAATTAAAACTCTTGCCCCATTAGGGAACACATAATGTCCATTTTTTGGATGATCAGATTTGGGTCATAGAGAACTCAGAAGTCTTTTTTTTCTAGATGTGGTAATGATGAGGGAATCAACAAAATTTGTTGGCATATAAATCCTTCCTCCGCAACCCCTCAATCTAACACTAGTTTAGATTTTATGAAATGGATGACTCGTACTCGTTGCGTTTTCTATCTCTGGAAAAAAAAAACATTTTTTAGGGGTTTTTTGTATTTTTTTTCTTGATCTTGTTTGCTAGGTCGAAGAGAGTGTGTGAAATTAGGGCTCAAACTTACGTTCCTAAAAAATGAGTTAGGTTGGATACTATAGTGGTTTGCCTCGGGCATCCCAAATCTTATATATATTATATATATTCTATAAATCTTAGACTTATACAAATATATATATATATATATATATATATATTTGTATGTACATATATGGGTTTTCCTATATTAGCACCCTATGAAATCCTATAGGTTACATATAGAAAGGGGTTTGCATTGCCAAAATTACTTTAGTTGCCCCTTTCTTTATTTCATTACTAGTAAGGGCATTTTAATTATTCAAAAGTGTAGTCTACTATCAAAAAATAAAAATTATTAAAAAATATAGTGTGGATATTTGCAGTAAAAACAAAGGGTATGTTTGTCATCTCAGGAATGACATATTTGAAATATTCACTAGAAGACAAGGGCATTTGTATTAATAAAGTACTTAGAACTTCACTTCGTAATTACCATTGTCTTTTAGTGAAAATATCTACAATTCCCTTTTTAAGGACAAAAATGCCCTTACTCATTTTTTAATATTGAATATTAAAGGAGCAACTATGGTAATTTTATCAGTTTATACCCCTTTTAAAATGTAACCTATAGGATTTTATAGGGTGTTAACAATATAGAAACCTATATGTTTTTCTATGGTCACCCCATGAAATTCTATAGGTTGCTTTGAATTTTTGAACTTACCTTAGTTACCAACTTGTTTATTCCATGGTTGTAAAATGAGTAAGGCACTTTTGTCAATAGGAAGGGTATTGTTGATATCTTCACTAAAAGACATGGGTAACTATGGAGTGAAACTTTAGGTACTTTATTACAATAAATGCCCTTATCCTTTAGTAAATATTTCAAAATTGCCCTTCTCAAGATTGCAATTTTGCACTTTGTTTTTAGTAAAATATCACCAGTACCCTCCTCGATGACAAAAATGCCCTTATTTATTTTATAGTCATGGAATAAAGGGTACCTAAAAGTAATTTTTACCATTCACACCCCTTTTAAAATGTAACTTATAGGATTTGAAGATGTGTGAACCATGGAAAAAATGAGCTACAAGACCTCTAAAGCTACCTATGTAGGGCCTCTAAGTTAGGAACTCATAAAAAAGGAGCCGCTAGAAACCATAGAATAACTTACTGCTATCCTGTTACTGATACAGGAACAGAAGAAGGCCCTAGAAGAACAAGCTCTTTAGGAA